GGGATTTTTCTTCTTAGCCGATCTCTGTCCGGGCGATGGGAATTTTAGACATTTTCTAGACTCGCTTGTTATGTTAGTACGCTCGGACAAAGTGCCAATACTTGAGGACTTCAGTGACATTGCTATTGATAAAGTTGTAGTATTTGTATCGCTTTGGATTTTTCTAGGCTGAAGGGGGGGTGTGAACGAGTTGCTTTCAATTCTGAAAATAAAATGAGATATTTTGCTACAGTTCATCTATATAGTATCGTTCAAAATTTATTGTAGGGAAAGTGAAAGCAATGTACGCTTACATCAAAAACCACTGAATTGAATTTTATACCTCTACACATACATCGAATTTTTTGAAATGTTTTCCTTTTATCCCACCCGACCAAGAAACGTCCGTTAGCGGATGTTACGAGTTTTACGATAGTTTCTCTTACCCTCACGCTCCGCCTCACCTAAGAGTCTCGTATTTCAAACGGAAGTCTGTGTTTTTGCTTTTCTGTCCGTTGAATGTATCGAGAATGTTTTCGTTTTATAATTTTTCTCTAACTTTTCTCGGACAAAATATTCGAAAAATTATATAGAAGGAGGCATTGATTTAGTAAACATTTTGTAAGAAATTTTCTATCATTAAAAAGTAAAACATTTTGTTTCACGTATGCACGTGTTAATAAATTAATTGAAAATTATAAGGAATCACATAATAAATCAGAGTAAGTATTGAAACTGCTTTGCATGATAAATAATTTAAACTAATAAATTTACTATTCTTATCACCCAAATAGCACAACTCACACAGTTGGATCCAACTTTTTAAGGAAGCATATAAAACATCATAGTAAGTATAAATAAATTAATATATTTAACTAAATAACTGACTATTTTTTTATAATGCCTTGGTAACTCATGCGAGTGATTTGGGGTCGCATTAATGGTTACCCGCATGCCATGGCGTATGAGTGACCAAGGGTGGTATTATCACTTGCGAAGCGTAATATCATTGAGAGTTCGCGATGTAAAGAACCTATTATTTATCGCCTACATGTAGTTATAAAGTACCTATTTATTAAAGCTACTCAAGTTTTCTTTTCTTAGAAAATGCCGCCTAAAAGAAAACGACTTTGTGAAGGACGTTTCCTCATTATACTCACATGACCGAGTCTGCAAAATTTGCAAGTACCAGGAAAAAAACAAAGGATTGAAAATGATGTTCATGAATCATAAGTTTTAATTACATGTTCATGTTATAATTTTTAAGTAATGAATATTTATTATTTTAA